CGTTGGGGTGGCAATCCAGAAGAGGAGCTGCCCAGGTGGCAGGCACGTTCTGGAAAATGAACTCCCAATTTCCGTTGCGCACATGCGCACTGGCCAGCTAGTCTTCCGGTTACTGGGATCTATCCGTATGCGATGATCAGCTGGCTGGCATGCATGTTCACGCTGAAAAGATGGAAGATCAGCTCTTCCAGTTTCTGGCACTGCCACACGCACAAAAGCCAGCTGATTTTCATTTCATTTTCATTTCATTTATTGAATTTATAGGCCGCCCAATCCCGGAGGACTCCGGGCGGCTTACCGAAATGAAAAATTGTCACGCGCATGCATACCAGAAACCTGGAAGAGGAATGGGAGACGCCGGGCGTGCCAGGCAACATGGCTCCGCGTGCCCCTTTGGGCACACGTGCCATAGGTTCACCATCATGGATCTAGAGTGAAGATATAGTCCAGGACCTAACTTCCTTAAAAGTCTTTAGCTAAATTCAAGTGCTGGAGGTTTTGATTTCCAAAGTGGAAGGCTATGAATGAGGAGCTAAATCTATTTAATATTTGGCTTCAGGCTGAAGCCCATTTTGTATGTTCATACAAAAGGGGCTTCTTGAATCAAATGGGCCACACCACTGCCTAGTCTCCCTCCCTGATAAGTCTCCTATTCCCCACTTCCCAATCTCCCAAGGCTAACACCCCCACCCACCCCGGCCCTTTAATGTACAAGGCAGAAGAGAGGATCCCTCTTTAATCATACAAACCACAGAGCACTAATGGTACTTACGCTTAGGCCAATGCTTGTATCTCCTGTAGCAGAGAGCAGTGATAGAATTATGAGAGGAAGCACAATTTATGTGCTTATGCCCCCTCCCCACCCCACAAATCACATAGTTTGTAAAACATCAAATGCCTATTATTTTATTCTCTAATGTTTGTTACCTTTGAGGCCCATGGCAGTCCGGCTCTGCCGACTGGAGCTAGATCCATAGGCTGGCTCTGGCCGACTTAAGGTGTCCTTTTGACGAGCCACAGCCACAGCAATGCCCACTGGAGGCTGACGCACCTCCCCATCCCCATGGCTGAGGTCATGGTCTCTGCTGCGGGCACAGTCTGAGCGCTCCAGATCCTGCTGTCCTTTGGTCCCCAAATGTTTGCCCCCATCCTGATGGGCACAGCTGCCCTTGAGGCTGCCCAGCCCCACATAAGGAGCCTTCTGGCCCACAATAAGTGCTTGGTTGCTGTATTTGAGCAGGTTTTTCATGGCTGACACTTCGTCAGGAGGGGTCTGCATTTCCTGTGTGAGCACAGAGCCCTGGGTCATGAGGGCAGCCTGTTGGAGGCTGCTGCTAAACGGGTCCAAGTAAGAGCCTTTTCTCTCCTCTGCCATGGACAAAGGAGGGCCCTGGCCCTGGACTGGCCACGGTGGCAAGTGGGGCCCACTGTAGCCCAGAGAGCCGAGCTCCATGGATTTGCGCTTGGATTCTGCGTGAGCGCCTGCCTGCTCCATTTCGGTCTGCAAATGCTGCTGGTGGCGGATGCGAGCCACTTTCTGGGTGCTGGAAACTGGCGGCTCCTTAGGGGCCTTGTCTAAAGTGCAGCAGGACTGGCTGAGTTTGCACAGCGTCTCTTGGGAGTTAGGCCGGGTGCAGTCTTGAGGTGGTATCATCTCAAAATGCCCGCCCTTAGGTTGGTGGGGCAAGCTGCCAAAATGGCTGTCAGGACCAGTGCTATTCAGGTACTCCAGCCCTTTCAGGCGGGCGTTGGTATTTTGGGGCCAGTCCAGCCTCCGCTCCACTTTGCCCTCAGCTTTGAAGTGAGAGAAATGATGGTGCCCATAGGTGGCGGGGTGCTCCGGGCCCATCTCGTGGGGGCGCTCTTTGCCCTCGCAAGGCTCCGAAGGGACCTGAAAGGAGCGACTCTTGTCAGTCAGGTGGCCTACCGAAGGCACAAAAGTGGCTCCGCTAATCCGTAGCTCCCGGCTGGCCTTGTCCTGCAAGGGACACATTCCATCTGGGCTGGAATGAAGCTGCAGGCAGGGGAAGCTGCCCGTTGTCGTGCTCAGGGCAGGGGGCCCAGTGGGCAGACTGGATGGGACAGTGTAGGAGACCGAGTGGTGCAACATTTGTCTTCGCTCCAGGCACTCACTGTAGGACTGAGGAGGCTCATGGTGGCCAAGGTCCTTGGCACAACGGCTCTGGGCAACAGCATGGCGTGGTAGAAGGCCTCCGCCACAACTGGGGAGGACCGCTTTGCCCGAGTCACCATTCAGTACCTTGGAGCTCAGCAGGCATGAGGGCAAATATTTGGGCCGGTTGTCACAAGAACCCCGCTGGAGAGTCCCTTCCTTGCAGTTGATTTCTGGTGTCATGGGCATCACCAGCTTGTGCCGCTCCTTGGCCTCCTCTTCAGCTGCTCGCTCCTTGCTCTCACCCTTGGTGCCTTTCTCCTTCGACACTGCGCAGCGCTCATAGTCTTTGTGGCACTTCTGCCCATGTCCAGCTTCCCGGTCCCGGCTGCAGGAGCCAATCGGATGTCCAGGGGCTGCCCGGGCAATGCTGGGGAAATTGTGATTGGTTGAAAGCAGTGTAGGTTGAGCTGGAAGGTTCCGCAGGTAGAAATTATCTACAGAAAGAAGGGAAGAGATTAAGAAAAGACTGCCACCGACAACAATGTGGCCTAGATCACAATGTGCAACAATCACACTCCTAAGAATAGCCTAGCAGTTTTAAGTGCCCATGCCTTGTGGCACTGAGGAATGCTGGAAATAAAAGCTCCCTGGTTTGCAGAGGCACGCTTACAAAGCAGCAGCCGACCTAGCTAAATGCCTGGTGCCCACCTGCAAGACTTAGTGGAGTTGAAGCTGGCTATCAGATACACTTCAGTTCCAGAAAAGTCCATTTTCCTCCTTTCCTCTACCTTCCCTTTGCAGCTGCCCACTAAATCTGTGTCCTTGGTAAGATAACAATTACACCATGCTTCCCCTGTCCCTTGAGGCAGAGTCAGACATACCACATAGTCAAACCCAATACTTGCCTTTCTGGCTTTCATAAAAACGATGCTGGCCATACAGGACATTGTTGTTTCCATGGTGATCCAAGTGGCTCATGGGAAGAAAAGTGGATGCTAAGCTCCCAGAGAACCTCGGGTAACCTGGAGCTAAAACAAGAGGCATTGAGGAATGACAGGCCCATGTCACAACACAACAGTCACAAAGCCAAGTTACTGGGCCTTAGTTTGATCTGTCTCTATGCATAGGTTGAAAGAGGATTGCTGGGGCAAATTCAAAGTCTTTTGTCAGATTATTACTTGGGCTATATTAATCACTGCTAGGCAGTAGCCGGCTATGGGATGGACCACAGCTAAAAGGGTTGGTACTGAACCAGAAAACTCTCTGGTGCTAGTTTAGCAGAAGAATCTTACAAAACACATCTGGCAAAAGAAGGACGCCTGGAACAACAGCTACACACGGAGGGAGCAAAACACACTATTCTCCTGATCATAAGAAACTCTTGATGGATATTGATCTCTGGCTTCTTTATAAAACCCAGTGCCAGGAGTCCGTAGAAAATTATGAAGGGAAATAACGTAGGCTAACGAGGCTGGGGCTATTATGCCTAAATGTATCACAATTCCGCGCCCAGGTGACTAAAACTCTGCAGACAAACTAACATTATGCTTAGGCATATATTCGCATCAGTTTGCTGTTCTTGAAAACATCACATTCTGAAATAACCTTTTAATGCCTCAGGAAGAAGGATTGAAGTGAGAACAGCCTTATTAGCAAGGGTATGCAGATGAGGGCGAAGAGCATCACAAGCAAAGAACAAGGGGTGATAAAAGGACCGAAGATCCTAATCTAGCCGTTGCAACTGCTGCTCTGGGTTCATGACATATCCCGGAAATGTAGCTCTTTGCTTAAAGTATTAAGTGAAAAGAATCTGGCTCATATAATCTTATTCCATGCCTGGGCACTCTAGCAGAAAACACATTAAATCCACAAAACCACTGACACCACTTCCCTTACTATAGTCCATCTTCTTGGCTTTCTACAATCTAGTTCTAGGTTTTAAATCAAATGTCAGTAAAGTTTTTATTTGTAGAAATAAAAGGAAAAGCTTAACCCCAACCCCCCCACTAAGATAGGTATTATACAGAGCTGTAGTGGCCCAGTGGTCAGAATGCAGTACTGCAAGCTGCTTCTGCTGACTGCCAGATATCTGCAGTTCAGCAGTTCGATTCTGGCTGGCTCAAGGTTGGCTCAGCCTTCCATCCTTCTGAGGTCGGTAAAATGAGGACTCAGATTTTAAGAGGGAGAGGGGGGCGCAATATGCTGGATCTGTAAACCGCTTACAGAGTGCTGTAAAGCACTGAAAAGCTGTATATAAATCTAAGTGCTATTGCTAATGCTAAGGACTATTACTAAAATTGCCCACTGTAGTCTCAAAAAGAGGCTTTTCATCAGGGCTGTCCAGGGTGGAGGGGGAGGGGGGACAAAAATCAAGATGGCAGCGAGCTGCAACTGCACTAGTGAAGTGTCACTCCAGTGTTATGTGTATTGTGTGTAAAGGGACTGAGACCGCTCAGCCGTTCCAGAGACATCCTGAGCAAGTTCAGGTAGTTGCTTCAGCAAAAGGGGCAAGTCATCTCTCCAGTTTGAAAAAGGAGGGGAATTACTGATTTGCTTGGTACAGCAAAAATCCGCACAGCAAGGCTCGTTTTAAAAAGGAACAAGAATACAAAAAACAACCCCTGCAAACAAAAGAATAGGGAAAGGGTTGCTGTTATATCAGTTCAAAAAATGAAATTACCTCTTTTGCTGAACATTTTAAAAAGATACCAAATGACAGGATTGGCTTAAAAAAAC